TTGGTGTTAGTATGTTAGTCACTACATACATCACACCATACCAAACCTGTTGTCACAGCAGCTGTTACACCGAACAGCTCCATAGAGCTAGAGGTCAGACAGGTTAATCCTGCTATACCATCCACAGAGAGAAAGCAGAGCAAGCCATGGATGTTACAATGGAATGAAGCTGCGTTAGGGGAAGTTCAGATTGGAAAAGGTTCTTCACTGAGAGGGTGGTCGGTCACTAGAACAGGCTTCGCAGGGAAGTGATCACAGCACCAACCCTATCAGTGTTCAAGGCGCATCTGGACAACACTCTTAGTCATACGGTTTAGTTGTAGGTAGTCCTGCAAGGAGCAGGGAGTTGGACTTGATGATTCTTATGGGTCCCTTCCAACTTGAGATATTCTATGATTCTGTGATTCTTGGGTTGGCTCCCCAACACTGGCCATGGTGAAGTAGCCTGAGGTAGGATTCGGCTTGTAAAAGGTAGGAATGCTGGCAAGGATAGATGCTGGGGCTCTGAGGCAAAGAGGTCAAAGAGAAAGTATTTATTTGTGATTACAAATTTGGTAGAGGCTTTTGTACGTCTGTGGGACTTCTTGCAAGAGTTTTTTCAGCTTTGTTTTACATGGCAGCCATTTTAAGGCAGTAACCACGTGGGCAATGGGAGACATACACCTTTTAAGTGGTTTAACATAGACAATCCTCAGATGCTGTGGGCATTTCACAGGGGCTCGTGTCCTGTGCAAGTACTCACAATTCCCACTAGCCCTCTGAAGCTATGTATGAAATGACCACTGAGTGGATCTGCAGGTGAGTCAGACTGCTGGGGACCCCAGGCTGCCTGAGCAGACAGGTACATCCAAGCACAGAGCATTGACAGGAATCTAGGAGCAGAGAATGTGAGGAGAATGTCTGGAGACAGAATTGGGGTCTCTAAAGAGATGCTGGAGAGATTTAGGCATGGGAGTGGCCAAGCAGCTGAACATGATGGTTCTGCAGAGGCAGAGCAAGAGGGAATGTAAATTGCTGGCTGAATACATCCAAGGCACTAATTTGCATGACTGTGAGATGGGCATTCGAATAATAGTTCTGCTTTCCATATTATAATAGGTCTGTTTGTTTTATTGGAGGGGATTTAAAATGTATAGAGGTTGGAGAAAATACTGTACAGCAAGACTTAGGACTTAGTTTATTTAGCTGACCGAAAAAAAAGAGTTGATTATGTGGTACAGTTACCTGCGTAACAAAAAAACAGGAGCTAGTAACAGGTCTTAAATGCAGAAGAAAAGTACAAGAACAATTAATAGGCTGGAAGATGAAGTAATTGGTTTTACACTAGGGTATAACTGTAAATATCATTGTATATTACAATGAGTGTACCTTACAATGATTAATTACTCTTGCTTTAAAACAGCACTTGGTTTCCACTGCAAGCAGTTCATGTTACATACTATTACAACCATGTCAGTCTTTGTTAGTATGATGTCAAAGCTGTGAACAAAAAGGCTGCATTGTATTTAACACTGATCTAGAGAAAAGTTGTGCTGCTTTTCAGTGCTTACACATCACAGAAGTTTTGCAGATGCACTTTTGTACACTTTCCAGTCCAGTATTTTTATCTAAAATGAGCTGCATGCTAAACACTTCTCTGTGCTAATTGTTACTGCTAAGTGCTTCACAATTTCCTCATTATTTTTCTAGTGTCCTTGATGTGCTGCTAGATCATAGAATGGTTTGAGTTGGAAGAGACCTTGAAGATCATCTAGTTCCAACCCCCCTGCCATGGGCAGGGATACCTTCCGCTAGATCAGATGTTTCTGTACACTGTGCTGCCTGCCTATAGCTGGCTATTCTCCAGTTGAGTGCTTGTCTTCCCTCACTAAATGCAGAGATGATTAATCTTCCCCAGAATCATGCTTGTTCTGACTGTCTGAACTCATGTACCTGCAGCCACTGGAACACTTTCGGCAAATAGTATTTTTTCCATTTCCTCATTGATCTTCATTTCCAGTCTCAAAAGTCAATTTGGAAGGCATCTTGATCAAACGAGTCACTGAAATCAGCTCCACAGTTGAAGGGATAGGCTGCTCTCCTTCACAATTGCTTGGTGTGTAGCTGCCCATACAACCCAAGGGAAGGAAATCACATACAGAGCTTCTGTATTTTAGGTCCAGAAGTATTATGATGGTAAGGTTATTTTAGAAAATGCCAAGACATTGAAATAGCTGCTCTGAGGAGCACGAGTGCATGAAAATGTCATGTTGATATGGTCATGTGCTGAACATCTTTGTTTTCAGTCTTATGTCCTTTACCTCAGGTAAGCCTGCAACCTGCTTGCATCAAGTTAACTGTAGTCAAATAGATGAGGACTCCACACTTAGAGTTTTGACACAGGCCTAGACTGTCCCAAGCACTAGGACTTGCATCACAGATGGACGATGGAGGTCCTTGAGATAGAGCAGAAAGAAAATTCTGTTACTAAGAGCCTAAAATGTGAGGGGGAAA